TTGTGACAAATGTTGTGACCGTTTGACGGGGTCTAAATAGATACAGCTGTTTCGAGAAAGGTTGTCGGAAAAAGCGCACACGACAATCCCGAAAGGTATTGTGGGTAGTTTTAAGTTCACGGTTCCTTGACTTCAGCATTTCAGGGAAATCTGAGAAAATGGCACGAGACGCCATGGACGTATGTTTGCGAGTGCTAAAAGAAAGCAGCAACAGTAGTCATCGCGGGTTTGATGTATTTATTTGACTTATTTTATTCATTGATCATATCCCAGATTACCTTTCGGGATTGTCACGTGCGCTTTTTACCGACAACCTTTCTCGAAACAGCTGTAGAAACCTCAGCTGCTCGCGCTCCACCTGTTTCGAGCCTTTTGTTATAGACATGCATGAATAATAATGAAAAAGGGTGAACGAAATACGATAAATTCCCTCGTAACACGGCTTCGCGAGTTATATATGGGCAAGGTGACAATTTTGGCAAGCAGATACGCAATATCGCATGGCAACAAAATTTAAGAGCGCTCGTGTGGGCAAAGACAGTAACCTAATGGAGGAAATTGAGAAGTTACCAGAGAACCTGAAATACTTTTGGCGTACAAGTCAATTTCATCAGTTTCTTCGCGCGTTTATACATATTCTATCGGATCCTCCTAACCTGACGGCTACAAAACGTCGAGCTGATTATACTCAAGATATAATTCAGATTCTACCTTTTTTATCAGAACTTGGGAAATCCTTCGATTGGAAAGTACATCGCCTGATACGGATGTGTTATGAACTGTGCGACGACGGCTGTACAGAATTGCTGCAGAGCCTTGCACGTTCAAGCAACAAGTATGTGATCAATATTCTTTGGACGGGGACAACCAGGGAGCTTCTTTCTTATTATATAGATCCTTATCAGTTCATAACATGGTGTTTAAATTTCTCGTGCGTACCTGATGTACTGAGGAATGCAATCGATGAACAAACGCTCAATGTATCATTTGTTTTTGATAGCGATTTAAAGCGTAGTGCCCTTGAATTTATGGACAAGTTATTCATTTATCCCCTGGATCTGGAGATCCTCAAGTTTCTTAAACTTCCTGGTGTATACTTCATCTATTATGTTGGAGAAACAGAGCTGTATATAGGAAGCCAGGTCTCTCCCTCTACATACAATCCGGTGTATGTGGGAAAGTCTAAGAATAACATTGGAGATCGCCTCCGCGACCATTATCAAAAAATCGAAGCAGCCAAAAACTTGCACCTGACTGATTTTGTGGTCCGATTCATGATTTTGAACAATGAATTCCAGCCTCCTATCATAGAAAAGATGTTGATTGAGCTTTTTTGCCCTGTTTGGAACAGAGAGTCGGAGGTGCAATTCTCGTTTGGTAATGCTAACTCTGAAACCAACACGTGGAACAAATTTCACATTCAAGTGGATGAAGAAACCATAAAGACTATGTTAGAGAAGCTGAGGATCGGTTAAAAGTCATTCTTGCTACCAATGTCACTGAGGATGACGGTGATTGGACATGCAAGATTAATTCGCGGTTATATCTTGTTTAAGGTCATTCCTTAGTATTGCACTGCGCATCCTTTCTGCGCATAATTTCGCGCGTATTTAGCGCGCGCACATTAAAAACATGGCGGCTTTTTCATTGTGGCTATGCTCGCCAGAGAGGTAAATGATTGTTTCCTCTTAAACGAGCGTGGTGACCTATCATTTTTTTTCGCATATTTAAGTCTAGTAATCATCTTCTTTCTACACAAGGAGTATAGACCAATTCTCAGTGCAGGGAAATTAATAATCACTGAAAACTTAAAAAATGCATGTTTTTGGTTGATTTTGTAAGGAATTATGAGGTATTTTTAGTCGATTATATCTCTTTCGCGGGGCTGGTGACCTATTCTTTTATTCTATATTTTGAAACATTACATCACAATGTTCAACTAGGGAAAGTTTCAGAAACTTCCCAGTGTAACTTCTATTTCGATGGAATTACCTTAACCTTCCCTGTTATCGTACAAAACAACTGATCAATTTGGTGCGGTTGAACAAAAATGCTGTTTTTTATATCAGGTTGGAAAATATTGAGGTGAATTATTTATTATTTCTGTCACTACACCAAAAGCACCGGCGTAAAAGCTCCTGTTTCCACGTGGTATTTTTACAATTAAAGCACCTGTATTTAACAAAAATAATTTTAAAAAGCCGCTTTTTAAAATTATTTTGGCTACAAGTCTGAGTTTGAGTTGGTTTCTTGACAATACAAATTTTTCAGCTCACCAGTCTTATATTTTTAAAATGTATGAGAGAAAAACAATTTCCTGAATTATTTCCACGTTCGTAATGGTAATAAAAAACCCCGCAATTTATCAACGTATCTTAGGATTATAAAAATCGCAACCACCCTGTCAGGATGAGATTACGGAATTCGCGGAAGTAAGTGAAAACTCAAGAGCCGCATGCTATGAACTGGAAGAAGTGCTGTCGACAATCGTACATCGGTTGCACCTCAAGGGGTGGTAAAGGGCCGGGGGTCCAGATGACATTCATTCACGGAAAATAAAATGGCCATTTTACGCTTCATGAAAACAAGAGCCGGGAGAAATTGTACTGTATTTTCGCACACTTTTATTGCTATTCCACTACATCCAAAGCGTTTCTCTGTGATGTTTTAACGACCGTTCACTCATTCTACCGCCGGCGCCAAAAACGAATTTGCAGGCGATCATGAGTTTCCGGCAACACCATTTTCCTGATGTTCCATCCCAGACTCGTTATCAGAGGAGTCGTCGTCATTCAAAGAGCTAATCGCTTTCCTCTCCTTCCTGTCTTTCCTACTCTCTATTATCGCCCTGCATTTATCGAAAAATCTACTGAGGCGTTCTCCCCGATGGACAGCAGTCTCGTACATGTAAGGCCTTAAGTCGTTTCTTCAGCCGGGCTTTTCGAGTCTCGGGAATGCAGGAAATGACGTTTTAGAGAGTAACATAAAATCATTTTCCCGTGGGCATGCTCCCGGACCCCCTCAGTAGAAGCTCGCGCCTACGGTGCGTGTCATAACGGCGTACAACCCCTCCCCGGCCCCTTTCAAAATTCCTGGATCCGCCTCTGCGGCCTCGTCAGGCCTACAACTATTCCAAAACCTCGCAACGCCCCTGCCTTTCTGGTTGAGGTAGCTTATTTTAGCAAGTTAAGTTTATTTTTTTGTTATAATTAAAAGGGCCTCTGTTTCAAGAGTACTTTCCCCCATACAAACGTCGCCTACAGTGACAGGCCTACAGGTGTATAGCAGTCTCAATATTTATTGTCGTCACTTAAAGATCAATTCAAGATACATCTAGAAATGCTCATTAGTCAAAACTTTTATATAACGTAAAAAAAGAATTCAAAATATTTACTTCCTTGAATAAGCACAACTATATATCCTACACTCTTCGACTTAGTCCAAGGAGTTAAATCCGTGCCAATGTGGCACAAATATCCCTTGCCTCTGGTGATAGTGTTTACACATTGTTATATCATGTTATTGTTGGATCAAGCGTTATATTACATAGGGTCCCAGGGGGTAGGGGGAGAGGAGGAGTATCAAGTCCTAAAGTTTATATGGAACCCGGACAAAAATGTCGATTCACGTTCTTTGGAGCCCTGACGCAATGGGAGCCTTATTATTTCTGTCTTGAGGAGCCCTGTATTTTTAGGCCGTAACCCTAGAGACCTACAAAGCCCCTTTAGGACCCTGATTACAGGATCTGTAGGTACTGCTATCGACACTAGTATGCCAACGATAAATGCCACAAAGGTCTTACGATAATGAAACTCGCGCGTATTTATAGCAAGGAATTACAGATAGATTTAACTTGAGGCAAATACAATTCTTTAGAACATTAAATACATCTTAAGGACAAATAAGTATTATGTTAAGAGTTATTAGTTTTATAAACAACTTTACTTTTCCTTTTGCAGTACAACGCCCTGTACTGTTGCGATTGGACAAGGTTTTGATTGACGTTTGACAGCTTTGTTGGTTTTCTCATGCTTGACTAATCAGAAACGAAACAAATACACGTCACCAGTGCCAAGCGCGGGAAAACGCGTGCGACCAAGTCGCGAGTCTGGAATAGGAATCACGTGCCGATAAATTGCACGTGCGGTTGTTGCTCTCTGATTGGCTGAGAAGTTCCCACGTGCGGTTGTTGGCTCTCTGATTGGCTGAGAAGTTTGGAAAACCAATAACAAAGCTGTATAAAAATAATCAAAACCTTTAGCCATCGCAACAGTTCAATAAGTTCCACTGAAGCGATATAATTAAATAATTACTTATTAGTACTTTTTTAGAACTGTACTTCAGAATATACAATACTGTTTAGATTTACAATGCTGTTATGTTAGTAACACAATACTTGAATTGCCAGCTCTCTCCATTTTCCAAAAAAATAACTTTTTGTCGTGAATACTTAAACTTGTTTAAAAGTTGTTAACGCAGTTTAAATTATTTCGTGTGTAAACGCTGCTAACTCTAGTGTGTGTGATCGTCCGGGTGAGTGTAGTCCTGAAAAGGACTGTTGTTGGTGACTGACGTTTCGACAACCTGTGCGGAAGTCATCTTCAGTCAAGTGACAGCGTCAACTTCAGACTACCATGCTTTCGTTTAACTTGTGGTTTAAAGGAGCTATGTCACGATAATTTTTGCGAAGTGCAAAATCACCTTCAAATTGAAGAAAGCCTCAAAATAATAGTTTACAAAGGTAGAAAAAAAACGAAAGAGGTAATAAGAAACCAAACAGGAACAAGGATGGTTGAGGATGGAGAAGATTAAGACGGATTGCGAACGGCGAACTTGAAAAAAAATGGCCAATTTTTTCAAGATGCGCCAACCGTGACGTAGCTCCTTTAACTAAACAAGAAACAGGATACGAGAAATGTGGATAAATAAATGATGGTCAATTTTAAGCTTGGTAGAAACATAAGAAAGATATTATCCAGTCAGTGACACAAGCTATTCAGTTCTCCCAACAGGAGTCGAACCTATGACCTTCCGCACACCGGTCGGATGCTCTACCACTGTCGACTGAGCTACAGGAGAGCTAGCTAGGTTCAAATGTGACAAACATCCCACATACTGCTAGGATTAGTTTTCAGAAATGGAAGAAAGAAAGAAGTGGCAACCAGTCCGTGTGTATTAATAATAATTATTATAAAAGGTGTTAAGTTTGATTTACTTTACATAATCATTACTTCTCATCGATTAACGGAAACAACTCTTTAGAGTCGGGGGAACAAGTATCGTTTTTGGCAAAGCTTCGTTGAAGCACTCGAAGAGTTTCCGAATTCTTATTATCCAATCAAGAAACAGCGCGAGTACTCACGAGTACTCCGGAAGCAATCGCGCCAACGTAGCGAAATAAAGATACGTCATGTTGCTTAGCAACTTCGGGGGCGAAAACCGCGGGCTCAGTCCCGTCTCGGAGGCGGGATTTCGTCATCAACTGGTACTTATTCCCCCGACGACGTCGAAAGTGATAAATGTCTAATTTCTCATTACTGGGTCATAACAACTCTTAGTAGGAAGGTCAGGAGAAAGAACAATCTGATCAAGAGCAAAGTGTTAACTTAACATTGAATTCTCCCTACATGAACTGTACAAAAATGACTGAAAAGAAGTTAGGAGAATTCTCAAGCTGATATCGGGCAAATAGTAAGATTTCCCTTTACAGTCGAAGCTCTCTGGGCGGGCACTCTCGTAAGCGGACAGCTCTACTTAATTGGTAGTCCAGTTCTGGCCCCTCTCTGTCACGCAACGCTACGGGGAGGAGCGTGACAAGAGAGAGGGGCCAGAACTGGACTATACTTAAGGCTGCCTTGACAAAACCCCGTTTGAACTCTAGCTCACACAAACTCTAGCTGTGCACATTCCCGTAAGCGGCCAGCTCCAGTTGCGGACACGTTTTCTGCTTCACGAGGGTGTCCGCTTACGGGAGTTTCAACCGTACTTGAAACTTTGGATTTGTTTTTACATAGATTTACTACTTGATGTTACTGATACCGGATTCGTACCAAAGTACGTCTGTCTTTCTGCGCTTATGTCTAACAAAGCTCGAGAGACGTCTGAGATGCGAACCGAAAAATTCCATATTGATGACGTAGCTGTAAATAGATCCGTGTAGTGTCTCTGATTGGTTGTTACTTGCGCGCGAAAAATTCAAAACTGAGCAACAACCAATCAGAGACACTACACGGATCTCTGTAGAGCTACCAGCTCTCGCGCGGGAGAAGAATTAAGCGCGCGAAGAGAGACATATGTTAACTCAAGCTAATCTTTTCAAAGCAGTACAATGTTGTTTTGATCCAACTGTACATAAAATGTCACTTAGATGAGTCATGTTATTCACTCTCTTAGGCTTCATAGTCAACAGTGAACCCTGCAATATCCATTAGTGAAATGTAATGTCAAAAAAATATATATAATAAACTTTCCTTGATTCGTGGGTGACGAGCAGTTCTTCCGTTGCATCGACGCCGCAGAACGTTGTCACTTTAAAAGAAGCTGAGCCAAAACTATGCCATATTTGCACAAATGGGCTTCAGAATAACGTAACACATCCTTGAACTAGCCATTTATCATCTTCAGTCGCAAAAGACGGCTGGAATACTCAGACAACTTGAAATTCATCAAACAAAGGTTGTGTTGAATGCTTTGAACTCTACACAGCATCCTTGAGCCAGGGATGATCAAGACACTGTACAGCGGTGACTCGTTTTTCTGTGTTGAAGTCTAACATTGGAAGCAGGAAGGCTGAGAACTCCACAGCATCCTTCTCGGGCCACTCGTACTTCTCACGCAGGACCTCGTACAATCCCCTTTAGACAACAAAATAGATAAAACAGTAAATTGAAGCCGCGATTTAATATCACCGCCCACCCCCCTCCCCAAAAAATACTGGACAAAATTTATGACCCCCCCCCCCCCCACAGTTATTTTCATCTTTGAATACACACCCCACCCCAGAACACTTGAAGGGTTTGTGAATTCTTACACACCCCGCAAGTTATCACATCAGATCAGCCATAGAATTTCTTTGAGACAAGCTTGTACCAAACATGAAATTTTCTACAGTTGAACCTCCACAAACAGACACCTTTGCAGGCGGACACCACTCGTTTGCAGGCACATCCGTTGTCATGCTCTTTTTGAGGTTTGACTGTTTTAAGTTGGTTGTTATTACAATGGCCCGATAGTAGAACTTACCAGGGTCGTAACTTGGAAATATGCTTGAGTTCCCCTGTTAAAAAAAACAACAACATGAAAACATTACTTTATTTCTTTCCCCGTTAAGAGAGAGTTGACTGTACAGCTGTCCTAAGATTAACATGAAAATGTACGCGGTACATCAAGAGCAAGAGAGTATAGGAACAAACCAAACCTTTCTTGTTGAAGAAATCTCTGGAATATTTTCCAGAGAGAGCAATATGCCTTGGAACTTTACCAAGAAGTTCAATGACGTGAGCTAAATGATCTGTGAATCAAAATAAACAATATCTAATTTCTTAATTATGTTAATTTAATAATTAATTATGTAAAACGATTAATTATGTAAATCAACTGATTAATTATGTTAATACATGAATGACTAGAAAAATAATAAAAAAGAACAAAGACAAAACAACAAGTATGTTATACCTTCATCTCTTGAGTAATCCTCCCCAGAATGAGGTTCAAACAGAAAATCTCCTGTAGCTAATTCAAATGCCTGGAATACAAAACACGTACAATACAGGGCTGATTACTCAATCATTGTCTAAGTTACACCTGGTTTATGTCTAAAATTAATGAGGTTTACAAGGTGACTCTAAAACATGACTACTGTAGTTGGAGCAGTAAATTGTATTAATGTGGATGAGCTTCTGGCTCATCATGCAATCTCTCCGCCCTGAGATTGCGTGATGAGCCGAAAGAGCAACTTCAGCATATGTGTAGAGGCCATGGTTAGCGCTGACAGCCCTTAGACATGCAATACAAGTGTGGCCATTGGTTAAAACATGACTTTTAGAGCACAACTTTCTGGAGCGAAAACCCACCGTAATAATGGTATGATTTTGTAGAGCCGTATTCAACAAATAACAGGAACTCATTAGGAAGTGAGGATGACTAACGATGGCGAGGATGGAAATGGATTACAATATGGACAAACTTGAAAATGCGAGGCTTATATGTAGGAAACCAAACAATAATAGTTTAATTTTGTAGAACAGTAATCTACAAATGAGAGGAACTCATTAGGAAGTGAAGATGAATATAACGATGGTGAGGTGGAAATGGATTTGTATTCGACAAATGAACTAAGTGAATACGATCACTGTTACTTAATAATATTGTACAAGTGTAATTTTGATAGCATTCCATGAGGTTTCATAAACTCTTGCATAGTCAAACAAACTTAACCATTTAACCATGCAAGAGTACATGAAGCCACGCAGAGGCAGACGCTAACTGTACATTAAGTGACATCTATCTTCAGCAAGATTTTTGTGAACATAAGTCTTGTCGTAAACGAACACTGATATGTATTTTGCATCAGATTGAAGATGCTTCATAAATTCCTGCACCGTCAAATGAATCAAATCATTTGACTATACAAGAGTACATGAAACCCCCCAGTGATCAAATTATATCCTTAATTTATAAAAGTCTTCTTGCAAAATGGAAACGTTCCTTCATGAAACTGCACAATTTTTTGTGTACATATAGATCTGCATGCAGTAACTAAACTACACAGCTCGCTTAACTTTGTTTAGTTAAAATCTACATGTATTAGTATACTAAAAGCAAATGCAGCAATCTAATTGGCTGAGGTTAAATATTACGTATTTGCCAACATCATGGAGGTAAAATTACTGTAAATTCTAACTGCCATTTACACACATAACAAAGACAGACATAAAGTGGAATCTATTTTAACCACAATAGCAGTTATTACAGATGTCAGCGGTTTGACATGCAAATGAGGCGAAAGGGTCAATCTGGCATTGTATTGGCCCATTAGCCTCATTTGTAGGCTCAGATTACCAGCCGCTGTTCAGGAAAATGAGCCAGAACGAAGACCGGACTCGAGAGAGCGGCGGAAATCGAGCCTAACTCATTTGCATACTTTTTAAAAACAAAAGAATATTTGACTGCGGGCTCAACTGTAATAACTGCTATTGGTCAACAATGGATGTCCTGTCATACATTAGTCAAAAGTAATTTCAGGGTTCCAGATATGAGATCGACGGCTCTCAGGTAAAAAACCCAACAAGGTCAGCTACCCGTCCTGACAAATGAATTGAAAACTTCTGATGATTTGGTGAGGTCCATTTCCTCATTCGTTTAAAACTTATCTGGAACCCTGGAATTGCCTTTGTGATGCTAATATAAAAAACTTGAATGGTTTAACCCTTTCACTACCAAGAGTGCTAGGCTCAAAACTGAGGAAAACAACTTGAATTTCATTTTGTAAAATTGCCAAAAACAAACGGCACCACTTGAAAGTACTGCTCAATAGCTTTCATTTGAATGGTCACACACTGGGGTTTCATCCACAGACTCAAAACTTAGAACCACATTTATTGACTCAAGTTTGACTCTGGGAGTGAAAGGGTTAAAAACCTATTTTTACTGGAAGTGTAAATTTTTGATAGCATTCCATGAGGTTTCATAAACTCTTGCATAGTCAAACAAACTTAACTCATTTGACCATGCAAGAGTACATGAAGCCACACAGAGGTAGAATTACTGATAAATGCTAACTCCCATCTACAGGACATTAAGTGACATCTGTATGTTTATAGCAAGGTTTTGTGATTTTTAAAATTAATAAATAAATGAAATTGCAATTGAATCAGTTTTTAAGAGGTTTCCTACACTGTCAACTGAATAAATCAGTTGAAGATGCAATAACTCATGAAACCTCGCAGTAGTAAGATGCTGTAACTTAGAATTAAGTTAAAATTCTCTATAATATTACATGTGGCCCCAAGCACTGTAATTTAATTTATACAAACGTACTTGACAGGAACCCAATTGAAGAAGGATGAATGACAGAGAAT